AAGCTAAGAATCTCTTCATACTTTTATTGGCATTCATATTTATATTTATATGTCCTTTGCTCAGGCTTTCATTCATTTGTCTCTTTTTATTGATTTGTAAGAACTCTGTGTATTTCAGATATCAAGCTTTTTTGGTAAAATATGTTAAAAAAATATTTCTTCTCAGTGTTGTTCATCCCTCCATTTTATTTAGGGTGTTCTTTGTCATATAGAAGATTTCAATTTTATGTGATCCAATCTGATCTTTCTTCTTTTCCTTCTTGGTTTCTGGAATTTATGTCTTCCTTACATATCTCCCTCCTAAGAAAATAAAATAAGTCATCAATATTTTTTCTAATACTTTCATAGGGCTGTTTTCCTGTTTGGATCATTAATCTACAAATTTATTTGTGAATACAGTGTAGGGTAGAGGTCAAACTTTCTTGTCTACCAAATGGATCGCCAATTGCAGGGACCTAGGGAGAAGTGATACTCACTTTCCTGACGCTGTTCTGCTCAGCCCCAAGCTAAGCCCACAGTCTCGAAAGACAATGGGACATCAGTTTTGGTTTCAAGGACACTGAACTGTGTGTGCCTCGCCTCCGTGACCCAAATATTATATCAACAATTGCTTCAGGAGGATTGAGGCATCTTCATTTCTCCATCCCTTTTTCCCTACCACCTAACCCAGCTGCTAGCACAGATTAGCTTATTCGTAAGCGTTTATTGACTAACTGGGATATAAGGCGACCAGCTGTGAGTACTATTTTGACAATTTACCCAGAGTACTAGGTTCAAGCATTCTCAAGTCTCTTTTCCAAAGGCGTTTTCAATCAGATTTGAGATCATTTTTAAAAGATACATTATTTGAAATCCCCTTGGCACATGTAGGCTAGCCCACAAAGGACTTGGCAGGATGCAGGCATTTTCCGTCTGTCTGTCTGTGTGACTGAGCCTCTTCAACCATCGCTACCTTTTCTCCACGTGTTCTCTCTACTGCAAGCTCCCAGTGGATGAGACTTGTTGTACTTAAAACAGCAGACACGGGGGGCTTGTCGTATTACTTCCCACCGAGTAAATAACACTGATAATTCATCTCATTCCTTACAGAGAACTATAGGGGGAGGAAAAAAAAAAAACTCCAGCTTGATCATTAAAATGAGCTTTACACCATTTAGGTGAATCTAAATTGTGTCATTTTTTTGTCGTCAGCCTGTTAACTTGTCAGTCGTTAGTGGCAGTGGTAATTTATTTTTCTTCTACGCGAGTCTTAGAGCTTCCATTTGCTAGATTTAGTAAAACAGGAATAGTCACTTTGTACAAACATTTTAGTTAATTTTAAATAGAAGCTTGAATGCACAATGTTCTGCTCCTGTAAGTCTTAGGAAGAGGAGAGAGAGACAGGGGCATAAAACAGTCCACACGTGATTCCAGAACTCCCTCGCACCCACAACCAGAGAAGAACGGGGGAAGAAAAAGAGGAGGTCTTGCCATTAGCATTATCTGATACTCTTCTGGTGGTGGTGGTGGTGGTGTGTCCATTTGAGACCCACTGCATTTTTAATTTTGTTAACCCCTGAATCTCCCAGTTTGGAGATTCGGTTTGGAATTTCATGAGGGAACATCTGTTCATTGCAAACCAGGTATCAGCTACTGTTTTGAGTCCTTGCACACATTATCACACTTAGTGTTCCCATCAGCTCTGAGAGACCATTTTTTGAAGGGGAAATTGGGTCTCGGAGAAGTGCAGTAATCTTGCCAAAATCCTACAGCTGGTAAGTGATGGGCCAGGTTTTGAACCCAGGTCTTTCTGGCACCAAAACCCTTGCTCTTCCCACTTCTATTTGATATTACATCCAGGTAGGGTGTAGAGTCAAAATTGTGTGTCCTATAGTGTGTGTATCATTAAAAAAAGTCATGTAGATTTAGTGATAGTAAAAAATATCAGAAGAGTGATTAATACAGGAAGTCCCCACGTCACATCCAACCTCTCAAATGAGGATCAGGCTGAGCCTTACATACTGAGATGCTCTGGGTTGAGTCATGTCTGAGACTGAGTCAGTTTCCCTGAGGGGAAGTGTTCTCCCTGCAGGTCAGCCCAGAGACCACTGGAGGGTGCTCATCTGGCATTTGCAATCTCTTTGCCCCAATGGCAAATGGATTACTAGAGAGCTTCACTCTAACCTGCCTCCCACTTTTTTATGTGACATCAGCCAAACCATCGAGTGCCCTGCTTTCCAGAGAACGTCATAGTGTTTTGCATTTTTTACCACACTCCCAGTGAGCATACAGCAAACATATTGAAGGAAGGCTGCATTTAGAATGTGGAGAACTCTCTGACCTGACTATTCTCCTTTTTTTTTTTTTGCTAAGTAATTTAAGTAGGTCACACTTTAAATTTGATTTCCTAGGCACTTGGTTTTAAATAAGATCTATTCTTACCTTCTAGACACTCCTATTTTTTTTCCCACCACTTTGAGGTGATGCAGAAGAGAAACGGTTTCAATATGAATAAAGAAAATAATCCTAATTGTATTTTATCAATTGATAAAGACAGTAATTATTTGCTCCTTACTTTCTACTCTCTTCCACCTTTTGGGAGGAAGGAGAGTGCAATGGGAGCCCACTGGTGGTGATTTGATGGAGCTTTCTCTGCCATCCATGACAGCTTGTCCCATATATAACCTTCAGGTCAGAAACAGCCCTGGGAAGTTCCTCTCACTAGATATGTGTAGCCACACTTCTCACTGTCTCCCTATTTCAGTGTGCAAGGGTGGAAGTGGGTAAGAAGTGATGCAAATTCTAGTCTTTCCACCAGGAATTATCTTCAATATCACCTCGATCAGAAATGGCAAGTGAGTTTTCTCTTGAATGCCGACTCTGCCTGCTTGCAAGTCTCAGCCAGGGCACTGAATTGAAGGTGTGGAGGCTCTTTCCAGGCTCAGGGGGACAACATGCCATGATCAATTAATGATCTCTTCGGAGGTGCAGGAAGGAAGACTAGTAGTTCATGTGCACACATTTGCCATCCCTGACCTGGCGCTTAGCACAAGTCTCATGGGGAACTGACATGGGACAGATTGACTTCAAAGCCCTCTCAAAACTTCGAGAAAGCCCATTAGTTCTCACGCTAGTTCTTATTTCCACAGTCCCTAATTTGAATCTTGGGGATCCTGAGTTCAAAGCTCTGTCCTCTACTCTCTCTTAGACAATCAGCATGAGTAGCAACTCTATATGGATCTCTGCTTCAATATCCTGGAAATAGAAAGATGCTCCTTACATTTAGAGAGAACTCATCTAAATTTAATATGTAGCTTCGATGTTCTCACTTTTGAACTTTCTTCTCCTCTGGTAGATTCATGAGGATAAGAATTCTCCTTGGAATTGTATGTGTCCCCAGTAGTTTTACGCTGATACGATTGTAAGGCATGTTTGTGGGGAACAGCCCCTCAATTATATGTGGAGATCTTTTTGTTTCAGGTCAGTTTACAATTAGAGTAAAACATGCACTTCCCCAGAAAAAGGCATTGCATGTGCAACATGAGGTCCACTCCAGACGTTGTTCTTTCCGCATCTTTCATAGATAGCTGTTTGGAGCTTGCCCATACCCCCACCACATCGGAATCCCTGAATATCAGGAACATAGGAGAAGTATTCACTTACGCCAACATTGGTAAATGCAGCACTGGAAGGAAAGCAACAATGATATACATGGTCCTGTCCTTGAGCAGTTTACTACCCGTGTCTTTGGAAAATTAGACAATCAGAGAAGGAAAGTTAATTACCTTGTAAAAACTGAATAGAAACATGATGAGCGGGGATTGGTAAGGTGGGGTGGGGCCATTGACTAGGGAGTGATCCAATAGATATGTAACCACTTCGTGGGACGGGGAGACCATTTGGGTTGTACGCACACGTGCACGTGGAACCTGTGCCTTCTAAATCGCAGGTAAACCAGAAGTCGGTGAAGCATCTCTGTTGATCATTTCTGAAGGTCTCTGAATGCCAGTTCCATAGCCTGGAGCCATATCCTCATTTTAGGCCCACCTTAGAAGCCAGGTTGGAAATTTAGGTTCTTTACAAACGGATTCTGGAGTGAAAACTCCAGAGCCTGAAGGCAACCACTGAAGTCCCACTCTTGATGATCTCTAAGAGGGCAGAATTGGGACAATTGAGGCCAAACTGGTGAAAACTATTGGTAATCTCATACCAGATATCCCCACTGATTTTCAGCCTTCTTCCTGTCAAGAGATGCAAGAGAGTCCCAGCTGAGACACCAGCTGCTAGAGATTTCATGTCTTCGGCCTGCCCTCCTGCTTCCTGCTTTTTTTTAATAGAGCAGGCATATTTAATCTTTCTACTTTATTACACAACTTATGCTTTGGGGTAGGCAGAATTATTTCTTTGTGGTCTAAATAGGGAAACTGAGGCACTGAGAGATTAAGTTTCTCAACTATGGCCCATCCCTCTCCCTTTTTAATGAACATAAACTCATTAGAAACAGGAGTCAACTAATCTGAGGGTAAAATAGTGAGAAAATGTGTTGTGATCCCCAATACCAACAGTGACAACAACATGCAAGTCCAGGTAGCTTGACTAAGGGCACAGCTTAGGGGTGGACCAACCTGTTTTCCAGTGGGGCTCCCACACCTGTGAACTTTGTGACTTCGGCAAAGTAATTTCACCAGTCTGAGCCTCATCTGTAAAATGGGGTCATGATTCTAGCCTCCACCTCATTGAGTGATTATGATGATGAAGTAATAAATTGCACATAAAGCATCCTGTGCCATGCCAGGCACATAATAAGCATTCAATTGGTGGTAACTGCTGTTATTAGCAACATTTTCATTGCTGTAGTTAATGTTTGTTTGAAAATGGCTCTACACCTCCATGGCTGAAGTCTCTAGCCTAGAACATTGCAAGCAAAGCTGAAACGCCAGGCAGGCTCTGTCTCCTTAGAGTGACACAGCCCTTCTGAGACTGGCGCTCCTGACCTGGTGCTCTGTCTCTGGTTTTTGCAGCTGCCTGCCCGGTCCTATGCAGCGGGAATGGACAGTACTCTAAAGGGACATGCCAGTGCTACAGCGGCTGGAAAGGCGCCGAGTGTGATGTGCCCATGAATCAGTGCATCGATCCTTCCTGCGGGGGCCACGGCTCCTGCATTGATGGCAACTGTGTCTGTTCCGCTGGCTACAAAGGCGAGCACTGTGAGGAAGGTAAGCGCCTCTGCGGGGCCAGGAGGGGCAGCGGTGGAGGCAGGAGGCTTTGCAGGCACAGATCTTCTAGAGCTTTGCTAATGAGCCCAGTCGTCCGCTCCTCCACATTTTGCAAAGGAAACTTCAACATTTTGCACAGAAAACTTCAAACCCCTTGGCTTTGATGGACTTCTTAAGCTGTAGAAAACAGAAGGCTGGTGGAGTGGCTCTGGAAGGAAGGTTTTGTTTTACCCTTCCTTATGGAAATTAGCTCCTTTTCTCTTTCTCCTTTGTTTTTCTCTTTCAATGCTCCCTCTGCCTTTGTCTGGCTGGCTGGCCTCACTTTCCCCTCCACCTCCCCCACCCCTCCTTGGTGCTCCTGCTTTTCCTTTTTCTTTCTTCCCCTTCCCCTTTCTTCCCTCCTGCTTTATTTAAAGTCCTCTGACTTGGAAATTACTAAAGCTATCCAGAAAAAAGAAACAAGAATCCTTAATCCCCCTGTCTTCCCCAAAGCTGTTTTTTCTCTCTTCCTGGTAATCTAAGGCCCATGTATGTCTGTGTAAATATTTCAGCAACAATTAATATCAATAGAGAGGAGTCAGGCTTGAAAGACTGTAGGTATCCATGTCTCTTAGCGACACCACGTAGGGCAAATTTTCATGGTTACCTACAATCCCACAGAATTAGAGGAGAGTGAGTGTGCTGCAAGTGGGCTGGGATTTGATGAATCCAGAGGGCTCACTATAGCACGCACTGAAGTGGCCTCCAGCACGCATGGGTAAAAGTCAGGGGGTGTAAGAAACTGAATCCAATCTGATAAAACATGATCAGAGATTAGGTTTGGAGATTAGGAGAGGGGGGCATGGGGAAGGAAGTACAGGAATAGGGAGAAAGGCTCGGAAACCAGCTCTAACTAGTCCTAGTCACTCTGGTTAGTTCTTTCAGAAGAGAAATTACCAAAGTGTTGGGACCAAGTTGTGGTACCTATAAGGCAAGGGAACTCAGCCAAGCTGCCTGTCAGCCTTTCCCCTCTGTATTTGCCCTTCCAGGTATCTCATTGCCCATCTATTGTTTCTCCTCACATAAAGAATCAACCCCAGTTGGTAGGAAGGTAAGAACAGAGGTCTTCTCAGCCTCTGGCCTGCTCCCCAACCTTTGAGTTGGCTCAGTTATTGTCTTGCAGATGAGCACCTTTTCTCTAAGACCATTTCCCAGTGAAACTTCCCCATTCAACTCCAAAAGCCCTTTTCCCTCCCATGTTCCTAGTGGGAAAATAACTGTCAAGTCACCCAAAAAGCTAAGGGAAAAAGCGAAGCCCACTGCGTAGTCCGTGTGAGACAGCTTGAGATGACCGCTGAGGATGTCCCCATAGAAAAGATCGCGTTGTGTGCCATATGCCTGTGTTCTCGCTCAGCTTTTCACTGCCAAAATGATAAGGAGGGAACTTAGGTACAATAAAGTTCTCAGATGCTAGTGGTTCTGTTCTCCCATTTCATTAACTTACGGATCTCTTAGGTTCTATGCAAAATAACCAGTCGTTACAGCCCTCACCACAAAGCAATGACAGTGGCTTATCCTTAGATACACACACAAAAGCTCCTGTTCTGAAATCTCCCATTTCGTAGTTTTTAGAACTATGGCTACCAAGAGTCAGCTTCCATGACATTATTCTTCTAAGATTTTCCAATATATCAGTGTTAATGCCCTTTATGGGGCTCAGAAGTCTGACCTCCAGATCATCACTTGCTCCACTGTATATGTATTTTTTCCTCTATTATAAAAAGTAGCCTCCTTCCATATGCATCATAAAAGCAAACTGGTAGTCTGGATGGAGGAAATACTGATTTAATAACCCTGCTTGAAAGGTTAAAGTTCTTAAAGATAAATGGATTGCAGGAGGCAAAGCTGCATTCACTGAAAACATGGGAGAGGCCAATAATACGACAAGAAAGGTTAAAACGACCTTTTGCATACATCATTTGGAGAGTGCTAGAGCAATGACATTGCCCAACTTAGAATTTTTTCCCTCCAGTAAAGATTGTGCATATGGGTATGAGTGGAATTTCAAGTGATTTCTCGACTTTCTTACTCTCCCAACTCATCTGATTTAAATGTTCAGAAGGAATTAAGCATCCAAAAAGACAAGGAAGCCACGTGGATCATTATGAAAGGATGAAATCTCCTCTATTGATTTCTGCTACCCAAAAAGAGGGAACCGAGGTGATTCATATGCTGTTTGCAAAAGCATACGGAATCAGAAAGTCTGGATCAGCACTTTTCCTTCCATTTAGCTTTTTTATTTCTGATATTCATCATAGTCATAACATTCAAACAATTCACCTGAAATGGCCATGGCAACGAAATCAATAGTTGCCATCCTCCATTTTTGCTGCATAAACATTGTTGTACTATTAACAAATTTGCACAAGAAAATGAAAGGACGTATTCGTGAGGTTTCATTCAATGATGTCTGGGGAGGGGGAAGATGATGAGAGAGATTGACATATTAGTTGTCAGCCATGTTTTCATGTCAGTTTCATGGGTGAGTCATTTTTCAATGACATTTAACTTCATAAATGTAATTCATGGTTCTTCAGGGGTTTATAGTACATATTGTTTGTAAAACTCCTTGACCTCCTTTTTTATCCTTAGGGATAGAAATTGCATTCACAACCTTTTTTTGTCAAACCTACAGGGGGCCCAAGACTAAATGAGTTCTAATGATTTCAGCTGCCATGGGCCTGGTGTTGTCAGGCACATGGTACTTAGCTGGTAAAGGCCACTGTCCCCCTTTTAAATATAACACTGTTTCTATTTATAAAGTTTCGTAAAATGCCATAGTCTCTCCTGCCTGCTAAAGACTCTAAGGACTTGGCCACGAGACCATCTTATGAAATTGGAACCAAATTTAAAATTCATAGTGAAACTGCTCTTCTTAAAGTCTGAATTTAGTTATTCCATCCGCTGCGGTAATTATATAGCACAGAGGGCATATTTACTGGTATCACTGACCAGAGAAAGGGTTAGCTCATATTTTCAGATACAATAAATGGTTCTTTTGATGACATTCCGGTCCTGGGCTAATAAATCTCAGTAGATTTTTCCTCCTCCCTTCATACTATCATTTAAGATAGAGAAGAGAAAGCTAATCTATTTAGAAGACAAATGCCATGTTCCTTTTTTTTTTTGTATATTGCTTTTTATTTCATCCTTTTAAGAAAAAGATTATGATACCGTTTTTTAATTTTTTGAAAGCTCCTAGCTGTTGGCCCCTCACCAAACGTTTTAAATGGCTAATTATAGATGAGAGTAATTTTTGAGGCGCATAGCACACGACATATTTTTGTGTATATTTTGATTTTGCTATATTAGAAATGAGGACAGAGTAAAAAACTAGAACTTCAGGATTTTCTTTTATTAGAAGAATATGGACAAGATTGATTCTGAATGAATTAGTTCATATTTTGCAGATCCCAAATTGCACAGCGTTCTTCCCAAAAGCAAGAAGTTGTTAGCACTGTTTCTCTCTCTCGTCAGTCTTTCACACTGGAAATTTGTCCCATTAATGACAAATGCTCTCAGCTAAGTCTGTCATTACATTCTTCTTGAACACCTACTGCATTCCCTTCACTGTGCTAATCGTGAGCCACCAAAGGCGTTACACAACCTCTTTGCAAATATCTTCTATGTGTTTGAACCTTCAGTTCATTTACATCCAGATGTGCTCACCATCCTAAATGGAGCAAACCTGAAGGTATCAGAAAGGCTTCATCGCATCAGAAGTTACGGTCCCCAAGACAATGAGTTCAACATTAAAGTGATTGTAACTAAAGCAAGTAACATCTTCAAAAACATCTCCGACTAATAATAATTCAGCAAAATTCTCCTTTCTGAGAGTGTATTTCTGATTTGAAAAGAAAAAAGTCAACGGCAGCTTCTGTTTCCCCATGGTTCAAATAGCTTTATAAAGATATTCTATAAAGAATATCTTCCTGAGAATATCCGAATGGGATCCTGAGAAACATCTCTTAACACTGAAAATTCTTATTTTTGCCTCAAGGGAGAGATGCTGTTTGAAACTTCATGGAATATTGTGATTTCTAATAAATCCAAATTCCTCTAGTCTCATGTCCCCCAGAACTAAATATATTGTGGCAGGGAAAATCTAAATAATGTCATATTTAGAGCCAATGTCTCAATTTTGAAAGATACCATTATTTTGTGTCCCATAAGAAAGAAAAAGTAAGATACTACACTACACAAAGCTGGGACCCCAAGGAATTACCATCTCAGTATCATGCTAAACTATTTAGAGGCCAAAAATCTTGCATATTTCAATCTTGGCATTGGACAAGGAGAGAAACCAAAATGTTCTCCGAGAATTTGAACTACAAGATGGCACGTATACACACGAGGGACTGAATTACACTATCAATGTGATCCAAAAATCCTCAAGAAAAGAATTTGAAGTGGTCTCAAGCTGGCTGTGCCCCCAGACAATGGCAGAAGCAAACGCTTTAAGCTAGGCCAACAGGCCTGATTTCTAAGCTGTTAAAATGGGGGAAACGTATGTCTTAGTCAAATAAGTTGATAAGACCTCCTTATTTCTCTCATCCGCAAGGCAACATCAGAGCCCTCTGCAAGACTACCATTCTCCATTCAAACCCCACAGAGTGCAGAGTCTTCTTCTCCAAGTGCCATTGCCTCATTCTCTGGAAATATCTAAGGAACTGGTCTTCCTCTAAAAAGCCCTGTTAATCATCCCCTTGGCTGTCTGGATGTCCAAAGACTGGGGTCACATTCTCACGCAAAGTCTTTTCCTCAAGAACTGGCCTATGTAACTCATTCCTCTCCTCCCTTTGAGTTGATTCTAGAGTAATAATCTTCAAGTTAACCCCTGGATATATATCCCCTCTGATTATTAAGATGGCCAAACAATCAGACCATAAACTTGGCAAGAACAACAATGGCCAGAATCTGACCATGACTCATCCAATCGACTGTCTGCTGGAAGGTTAATGCCACAGCCAAAGAGACTCACCTATCCAGTCCACTCATGATTACCTGTGGAAAGGTTACCCCCTGTGGATCATTTCCACATCCAACTTCACCTCTTCTATCCTGCACATTTACTAACTCCTTCAGTAGATGTATGTTGAGAGAATGAAAATTAATTTTAGACTTAGGAAAGTGACTCATTTATGAGTCTCATCGTTTTGGGTTTTTTTTTTTTTAATCTTTTGTTACCTTCCGAAGTCAAGTATTAGTGAAGTGAGAATGAGTCTCTTTACTTTTCTGTCTGATAGTGAGGGGTAATTGGGTTTGGCAATACTCATAGAGACATCATCAGTATTCATATTCCAGTCTCAGAGCTCTGATATGGTTTAATTAAGGTACTAATGTTTATAAGTACAGGGTTCTCAAGGTTGAAAGACACACCTCTGTGTCTGATTCTTCCCAATTCTGCTTGAGAAATCTCCTCTTTTCTCTTGCATTCTCTTCAAGTCTGAGATTTGGTGGTTTGATAAGAAGTCTTTAATTCTTTGCAGGTGTTCTTCAAGGGACCACATAGGTATGACCTTGTCCGCTCCATTTGCTTGCAAGTGAATAGGAATTGGTGAATCACTGGTCAGTTCAGCTGTAAGTTAATGTCTCGTGGCCCAGCCCCCAAGAGTGATCAATACTTCTCCTCTTTGCTTTTTTCAGTTGATTGCTTGGATCCTACCTGTTCCAGCCATGGGGTCTGTGTCAATGGAGAATGCCTTTGCAGCCCTGGCTGGGGGGGTCTAAACTGTGAGCTGGCAAGGGTCCAGTGCCCAGACCAGTGCAGTGGGCATGGCACATACCTCCCGGACACGGGCCTCTGCAGCTGCGATCCCAACTGGATGGGTCCCGACTGCTCCGTTGGTAAGCCAAGAGGTTTTCTCCTCACTTTCCCCAACACTCGTGCCTTCTGTTCCTTCCATGAGCCCAAATGGATGGGAATCTACTCATCACACTTAGCTTGGGATAAAGAGACCGGTCAGTTGCGTAGTGCCTCTCTTACTCTCTTCTCCTCAGTTGTGAAGTCTGTGATCCTTGAGAAACAAAAAAACACCACATAGGTTCTCGTGCCTTGTTGGTTCCATCACCGCAAATGGATGAGGAGCCCAGAAGGGATGCTTCCATTTGCATTATGGGTTTTCTTATGTATACTCCCTAAAGGTACCAGAAAACAAAACAGAGCGATTAAGTCCTAGACAAACTGAATGGAATGTCCTATCAAACAGAAAAGAGTCTCCCTCAGGCTGCCGTGTGAACATGTTATAAAGCTCTGCAGTACTCTAGTGACAGGAAAATAATGAATCTGCGCTGTACACTTTATTTTCCTAAAATTAAGAGTATGTGTCTTACCTCCTGAGTGACCTTAAAATAGAAGAGTTCAACAGTTCAAGCCAGTCCCAACCTTCCAGAGCATGGTGCTGTTCGCACTGACACACAAGTGCCTATCTAAGCAAGCGATCATCATTCCGCCCCCTTCCTCTGGGTAGTGAGACAGCTGTCAGATTGCCATGGCAATCAGGAAGGGAATATATGTGAAGCTTTGCCTACAATGGGAAAGAAATGAATATTTCATTTCAAAAAAGAAAAAAAGAAGAGTCAGTTAAAATGGGCTATTTTGGGATGTCTTCTCAGCCCGCTCGACTCTGGCTTCAACTCTGATGCTGGTGTCCAGGCCAAACTCTGCAGAGGGCGGAGGGAGGGGGAGCCCTAGAGACAAGGCCCCACTGTGCTGCTGACATGCTGTGTGACTTTGAGCGAGTCACTGACCCACCTGGTCTGGTTTCTCCTCCCCTGGCGTGACAAGCCGGGTCTCCCTCAATAGTCTGTTGTAAGGATGAATGTCTGGCACGTGCTTGTCCTCGAGTGAGAGGTCTGGAACGCCAGAGAGTGCATATCTGTCTGTCTGTCTCCTCCCCAACCACAAAAGACTTTGAGCTCCTTTGAGAAAGAGGCTGTGTAAATGCAGCACAGTTACAGCGGTCATCATTGCCACCAAGGTGCTGATCTGGGTAACGAGTTGGTCTCCAAGGGGGAAAAATCCCAGCTGGCTAGGGAGTCAGGATCCACAGATATCTTTTCATGTGGGTACCTCCCGGGTAGCTTTGCCAAACCAGATGGCCACTATCTGACCTCCTCCTGGGATGGTCTCAAGCTCTAGAACATTGGTTCTCACGCGCTAGTGCACATCGAAACCCCCTGGAGGACTTTTAAAGCCAAATTGCTGAGCCCCACTCTCAGAATTCCTAGTTCAGGAGGTCCAACCAAGGCACAAGAATTTGCATTTCTAACAAGTTCCTAGGTGATGGTAATGCTGCTGGTCCTGGGATCCCGCCGTGAGAATCACTGCTCTAGAAAATACTCAACAATGAATTAATACCCAGCCAGTGGAGAGACAGGCCTCCCAAGATGATATACCTGCTGGGCCTTGGGGCCCGCTCCAGGGACCTGGGCCATGCGTGTGGTCTGGCCTCCAGTGAAGGGTTTCTCCAGCTGTGGTGTTGAGCTGTAATCATTGTTTTTCTTCCAGAAGTGTGTTCAGTAGACTGTGGCACTCATGGCGTCTGCATCGGGGGAGCCTGCCGCTGTGAAGAGGGTTGGACAGGCGCAGCTTGTGACCAGCGCGTGTGCCACCCCCGCTGCATTGAGCACGGGACCTGTAAAGATGGCAAATGTGAATGCCGAGAGGGCTGGAATGGTGAACACTGCACCATTGGTAGGCAAACGGCAGGCACCGAAACAGGCACATATTGCTTTATTTTCATAAATCGTAGATCTATAGTGATGGTCGTGCACTGCAACTGGCTGTTCCCTCAGGGACACGAGTGCTCTCCAACATTCCTGCTGCCTCTACAAATCTCCGAGGGGATAGGGAAGGGAAAAGCAAGGTCCCAAATTGGAAAAGGCTTTCCCTTCTTTCCAGAGGTCCACACTGGGAGGAAAGCGACTGGACCAGATAAGAAAATCCATCCAAATTTCTGATCTTGGGGAGGGAGAAATGCACATGCATGGGAAATTGTCAGGGCTTGGAAGTTTCAAGCACCCAAATGACTATGGTCTGCAAGTTTCCCTTTTTTGAATACTCTCCCAGCTGGCTGGATCACTGGATCCCTGTTTGCTGGCAACAATTGAACTCACTTATCTAGACCAGCTTAGATGTAAGCAGGACTCCCAGGTTTCCTGGGTAGCCAGGTACCACTGTAGTAGGTCGAGAGTCCTCTTTCTGTCCCAAGACAAGGCTTTGTCCTTGGGCTCCCAACCCTCCCCATCGCAACAACAATCGTTACATGTGTCCTCCTCTGGTCCCATTTCATTCTCACTCAGCCACCTCTTTATAGAAGCTTCTTGACCAAGAATGTTTCTTAAAAGGTCATTTTCTTTGTTGAGAAGTAATAGTTCTCAAGTTTCTTCGGTTTTGTTTGTTTTTTGTCATTATTGTGGTTTGGGGTAGGACGATGCCATATTGAATGTATCCAATTATCCCTTTACTTGAGGAAATGGGAGCCAATGCTCTCTGGTTTCCCACATCTCTCAGGCAGTTGGAATTACCAAGTTGTCAACTTGAGCATCATTTTACCTCCAGTCTTTGCGTTTGTTGTTTAATTAAGGCAAGTCTAGGATTGGATTCATTTCATGCCAAGCTGGCTAATCTAATTGCTTGCGTGGAAACCCTCAGAGAAGTTTCCAACCAAACTCCTGAGTTGTCCCCTTGAAGTTATTTTTTTTTCTAGACATCAAGTTGGAGACCCTCCCCTCTGTCTTAGCCCAAAACCCCAGTCATAGATCAGCCACCTGGAGTGAGAGATGAAGTTAGGAGCTTGTCCAGGGCTGACTCCTGAGATCAGACTCAGTTTCCCATGCTGTCCATTTCGGTGATTAAGCAGAGATGAAGTGCACTCTGCACTAGATTTCCCCCAGTTCCATCTAATTGGGCATCGAGGGGCAGCGTGCAATCCAGGCCATGAACATAGCACAGGGACCCTGCTGGGACAGCCTGTTGGCAGTGAATTGTTTTTGCAATTTCTCAATGATGCTCCAGATCCTGCTCCCCCTGCAGCCGCTTTCATCTCCAGTTCCCTGCAGAGTCTGGGGGATAGTTCAGAAGACTTTCAAGGGAAGAATGTGCACAGCCCACTACCAAGACAGTTCAAAATTCTTACAATAGCTTCCACTCTTCAGAGGCGTTCTGCCTGATGTACTTTTGCATGCCCAGTACAAGAGACTTTCCCCTACCCGCATTCTTCCATTGCCCCCAACCCCACCCCCCAAAAAAGCTCTTGCCAACCAATAACCTTGAGGTAGAAAATCCTACTTTCTCTCAATTCACACAGTCCAGCTTCCCTCCCCTTTGCTCTCCCCTTCCCACATCTGCCGAGGGTTTAGTGCCCCCACAGTGATGCCTGCTGGCTCTCTCCTACCTACAACCTGTCTTTACTCTGAGAATAACTCACAGGAGGGCAATTCAGATGAGTTAGAGCAGAGTTTGGAAAACTATGGCTGGTGGGGGGGCCAAATCTGGCCTGCTGCCTGTTTTTCTAAGGCTTGTGAGCAAAGAATCGTTTTTACATTTATTAAGGCTTGAAAAAAAATCAAAAGAAAAATATTTCCTGACGAAATTATACGAAATTTAAATTTCAGTGTCCTGTCAAAAAAAGTGTTATTAGTGTCCAGCCACACCCATTCGTCGTCGTATTGTCAGCTTCCATGTTGCTTCTTGGCATTGAGCAATTGTAAAAGAGACTTCACAGCCCACAAAGCTGTTTGTTATCTGGCCCTTTACAGAAAAAATTCGCTGACCCCTGAACTAGAGAGTTGTGTAAGTGTTGATGGAGAGAGAGGAGAAAAAGGAGACAGATCAACGTTCAAATTAGGAAAAGGACCCCAGTTGTGGCTTGAAGGATATCGGGGCCAAGAAAAAGGGAGAAGGTCCAGATATCACCGAGTGGAAGTGGAGAGAAAACAGTAGTTGAGTTGAGTTGGAGTGTCTCTGGGGCTTTGAAAATGAGATGGGAAGATGATAACTTTAGTCTCAGAAAATGGTAAGGATGTGGCCAGCAGGAAAAAATGGAGTTGTTTCATTCTAGCCAGCCCTTTGGGTGAGATGAAACGGAAAAAGGTGTTCCTGCTACTTGAAGCGTTTGGTTCAAGTTTCACATCTTCGTGTGCTAACGTACATGAGTTCTTGAGAGACATAAAGAAAGTCCACATTTTTATGCCAAGGAAAGCTCCCACAATGAGAAAGTGGTGGTCCAGGAAAGTCTTTTGTTCAGAATTATAATCTCTCATGATTTGATGAGTTTGCTCTTCATGAATTATAAAGATCTTTATCACCAAAGTCTTTTCTTGTGAGAAATTAGGGCTCTGTGTTTCTAGTAGGATAGGGGCTATCTCCTCACTGTTATGTTCTCTGGGGTTCACTCAAAAAAAAGGCAAACATATGTTAGTTGGTGAGATTTGCTATTCAGAATCTAGAGCTGTTCGGACACGCATAATTGCGTCTTTGCTTTTCAACCTCTGGCCCCAGAGCTATTTCATGGAGTTTTAGTCTTTTATTTTGAGCAGACACTCCTGTCAATTCATTTTAAGTCAATGCCACAATTTACAAGCCCAGAATCAGTCCTCCTCCTCGGGGACACTGCCAGTCAGAAGGGAAAGAGAGAGTCTTCGGGCCTTTCCAAGCAGAGCCTCAAATGCTATATTTTGAAAATAGAAAATAAATAGGAATGAAATGACACCTAGTCTGCAAACAATGTGCTGGGAAATTTGGGGTAAGGCAGGGCCTGGTGGTTAGTGTTGGGGTGGTTGGGTTGTCTGTGGTCTATTTTCAAAAGGTCACAGTGAGGCCATTTTCTTAGGGTCATTGCAAGTAGTCAACCGAACAATTTACATCAGCACTTATGGATCATATTTATTTTGCTGAAGGAAGCAAGAAGATGGCTGGGGGAAAAGGATGAGGATAAAAATACAGACTTCTAAAAATCAAGTAGAATCACCAGGATCTATCCATGGCCAAATGCATTTCTGGAATTTTTCAACCAAATTATTATTTTTTTTATGTTTGGAAATTTAGTACATATTGCTAAAGATTTAAACATAGGGTATAACATTTCAATGTTAACTGTTAGAGTAAATTTATTGGTAGGCTAGATTCTTCCAAGCAATAATTCTTATATTACTTCTTTCTAACGTGTTAAATATAAGGTATGCCTAAAACCTACAGAATTGCATAGATAAGAAATATACTTTGAATCCAAATCAAGCACAATTCATGTATATCTTTGGAATATATTAGTATTATTTGGATAGACTGCAGTTTACTCTTATGAATAAATCAGAAGGCACATTGTGTGGTTAGAATAGTTTTATTCTTTAAACATAATCCTACAATGGGTTGTTGTTCCTATCCCCCCCTGCCCCCGCTACCACCACCACCTTATTAATACTGAGGATTTAACTTCAGAAAGCCATCCAAAGGCTGTAACAGCAGGGCATAAAGGAACCATAGAATAGGTCAAAAATCACTATGAACCATAGTAAACTCAGATAAACATCTCTTATATTAAGAGGAAATGGAATAGATGTTAACATGTTTTGCGAGCAGAATAGTTAGGCAAAGTACAGAGAGAATGCAAAGAGGGAAGCTAAATGCTAATTGAGGATTGCTGCTATTATCTCCTGAATGGGGGCTGGCTAGACATCCACTCTGAATAATACAAACTAACACACCCACAGAATAAATCCACCAACACTAGGTAGTGACCCTAGGTGAACTGTTTGATATCTGGGTAGTGAGCAACATCTGTAATGGTTATTCCAATTTGTTTGTTTTGTCAATGTGGTCCTGACCTCCAACTGCATTTCAGAATCATAAGGACTCAATTCCTAGGACTATGTGGGGCTGAGTGACCTGCCCATGTGCCACAAGTCAGAATAGTTTTCTTTTCCATCTATCGCATTGGGGCCCTTCTATTTTTCCTCTTTAATTGGTTGGGGAAAGAAATAGGTTCTTGTAATGTTAATAAGGAAAATGAATCTTTACCCAAGGTAAAACCAGCCATGCGACAATCTGATGTGCTGATTAAGTGATTGTCATCAGAAGTAGACAGGGTCACAGTCCAAGAGGGAGAGAGCTTCAGAACTACAGGGAACAGGATGGGAAGAAAGTGACTGTCAAAATTAACCAACTTCAGACTGAGTAAAGCTGCTTCTGCATCTTATTCCAGCTTCATTCTAAGTCATGGAAACTTTTTTTCTTGTACCTATTATCCTTGAACATTGGAGCTTTCATGACTCTACAATGAGACCAAGTTGAGATGAAATTAGCCACTGTGAATCCATCCTTACCACCGGGTCTGTGGAAGCAGCTAATTCTCTGATTGGTTAAATTAACCTATTCCTCTGGGGGCTCTTATTGGAACCCATCCCAGGAGCTCCATCTTTTCTGAAGTGAAAACCTGAAGTGATGGCCTTTCTCTGTTAAAGGTTATGAACGAACTTTTAGGGGAGTGTAAAAGATGTTCCACTGCTGATTTTCTTCCCCATAATTTGGCCAGAATATGGGCCTTCTCACTGAAGATCAGGAATCGATACATACCCAGAAGTTCTCTTTGAGTCTGAGTCAGGCAGTCTGCCCAGGTTTCCTACCCAAACCCAGAACAAGGTCTGGAAGGTAGAAGTTACAGGAACCTGTTTTCACCTCACTGCAAAAAGTACAGT